GCTGGATGCAACGCCAGCAACATCCCACTTGAGTCTTAAAACAGAGCAGCTCTGAACATGTGCAGTAAAACGGACCTTCTCCATCCAGACCACCATAAGCAAACACCGAAGCCCTATTTGCCCGAGAGTAAGAGAAGTGGGTTATGGACAATTGCCTGCTATGCTTAAGTTACCCCTTCCCAAAAGGGAAAAAAGGCAAAGTTCAGAGAGATTACCCGGCAACTCGTTCTTCCATCTTTCCACCCCACCCCCACTCCGAATTTTAGGAATGTTATCTCTCAGCATCTAGTTATCCAATAAGTTAGAAGAATGCAGTAAACCCAGCAGGGGTCTTAGATTCAATCATTGCCAAATGGATAGAAAATACTCTTACTATTGTAGAGAAGAAAAGCTCATCTACCAGAAGCCAATCAAACTCTGCGACTCCAAAATGCTTAAAAAATAAAACCAGTATAATCTTGAGAAAAGCGTTCTGACTCAAGCTTATTTTCCTCTCCCCCATTTCTGTATTAAAAAGAACCACAATGAGTAGATTTACCTAAAGTATACAGTATCTTCTACCCTCCCCCACCCATAGGATAATTGCTTACCGAAAAAACAAAAGGAAAAGAGATGTCCTTTGAACCGGCTGAAAGAAAGTGCCCATTTACCAGTTTAATTTTACATCTCAATTCAGAAACCGAGAAACACTTCCTAACAAGGCTTTAACTCGATTCACAGATAGCAGATTAAAGCTATAATTAAGTTCTACTTAATTAAGAGCTAAAAACTTGTTTCAGAACAGTGTTGGATCAAAATTCAGAGACTCTGCTGAGAAGGAGAAACAGTAAAAGAATCAAAGGAGGCTGTAACAGCCGTTAATGTGTCTGGGTTCTGCTATTTACACATTTAAGAGATAGGTCCTATTTTCCAGAAGAATTGGAGTTCTTCTTTTAAGCAAACCTGTAAACTCCATGCAGGCAGGGGCTTGTGTTGTCCCCTTCTACAGAGCACCCTCTCCCCTCAACAAAAGACCAACGGTCAAGCAGTTCATTTGAAAAAAAAAAAAGGCGGGGGGAAGGATGGGGGTAACTAGCATTGCAGTGCTTGTTCGCATCTACCCTTTTAAAATGGTACAGATGCTTTCTTTAAAAAAAAAAAAATCAAAAGTACAACAGGTAAGGGTTGATAAAGGGGGAACTTGTTGAACTCTTCCCCATGACTTTTCCAGGGCACTAAGGCCCAGAGCATGACATGCAAACACTGTTATTTTATTTCCAAGTCTCCTCCCCAAAGACCCCTTAATCTAAGTCTGAAAAGGCACATCTCAAACATTAAAAGGGGGGAGAGATCATCAAACTCCACCAACTGAACACTCATCAGGGCTCCTTCATCAAAGGAACGGATGGAAAATCCCATCTCATAACCAACCAGAGTCAGATCATGATAAGCAGCTCCGTGGATTTGGAGCAAAAGGTTGAAACCAACCACGAGCAAACCATTTCAACCCGGGGCTACTGTTTACTCTAAAATGAGTACAAATGAGAATTAAAGATCATGTACTAGAGGTCTCCAGCCTCGTCACTGGCACTCAGTAGGCTACAGTTAAAAACCACAGAATGATCTCAATGGGCACTTCTGAACAATCTCAATGCATGAAATAAAACTGAAACACTGTTATGTTGAACAAAATTGATTACAAATCACATTCCCAGCACATAGGGGGTCTTCTGCAGTTGAAATGATCTGAACAGGGCTCTTCACCCCCACTGTATAAAAGAAAAATTCAAAAGCTCAGAGAAATCGAGCAGGTCTCCAGATTACACAGCTGAAGGTCATACAACCAGACTGGAACGGTCATCTCTAAAACCTTACCAGAACACTAACTTTATTCAAAAAGAGGAAGTCCTAACTCTTCTCCTGCCTCCCAAGATGGCTCCCCAACTGCCCCCCTCCCCAACCATGAGGAAGCCAGGGGAGGCTGAAATGACCACGTAGGACTTGTGCAATTTATTTTTAACAGAACAAAAGGGGCTCCGGGCAAGCAGGAGCCCCTTTCTCTATCGGAAACTAAGATGGGAACACAGAAGGTCGGCCTGCAACATTCAAGCCACTATCAGGGAGATTCCCCTCTCTCCTGCAATTAAAATAGGAACTTCCAAGGGCCTTCTTCTCAAAATCATTACAGCCAGAGGAGGTCATTTCGGTTTAGAAACTGGGGCTAGGCAGCTGTTTGAAACTTGGGAATCTTAATCGTTGATGGTTGTAATCCAGTTTGGCACAAAGGGCATTCGAAACTCTTTTGAGAAAATGCTAATTTTCCCGTATGTAGCATGAGTCCACTGCCCACCTGCAGATGTTTTGATCTCCAAACTCCATTTTCCTCAAGAACTATATTCTTTTTTTTTTAAGATTATACTTATTTATCTGACACAGAGAGAGATCACAAGTAGGAAGGGGGGGGGAGGCAGGCTCCCCGCTGAGCAGAGAGCCTGATGTGGGGGCCGATCCCAGGATCCTGGGATCATGACCTGAGCTGAAGGCAGAGGCTTTAACCCACTGAGCCACCCAGGCACCCCAAGAACTGCATTCTTTCCAAGAGGATCTCAAATTGGTTTTGCAAAAATAGGACTGGCCCAATCTTAGTTTTTTAAAAAATTATACATTCCACATATGTATCGGCATATACACATCTACCTCTATAGATCCATGTTATCTCTCCCTATAGCTACATAGATATAGTATATAGATAGGTACACACATAACAGGCTGCTCAAATGCAAAATGCAGCCGTTAAAACGTACTGCTTGAGGAAACTATCTTCTGTCCCATGGTGGCAACGGAAGGTTCTGCAAAAACATTCGAGAACTACAAAGACTTGGCAAGGAATAGCAGGTACAGCTAGGGCTCCGGCAAGGAACTGCTCTGAGTCCCCAGGGGCGCCCGTCCTTCGGCCCAGCCCGGCGCTCTCCATCGGCCCCCCCAACCCGTCCCACCCTTCAGGTGTGAGCCGGTACCTGTGAGGGGACCCGCCTCTCAGCAAAGCGTGCGGCTCCAGGCTGGGCCTCCAGGGGGCGCCCGCGTGCAACTCGGCGGTCCGCTCCAACACCAGCGATCAATAGCGAACCAACCCCCCGCCCAAATCATGGAGGGGGCGCACAGTCAGGCCCGAGATCCTAAGCCCAGCCCCGGGTAACTGACTGTACACTCCAACCAGCGTAATTTAAGAAGCCGCCGTGTAACGAGCTCCCCGCAAAGGTGCCGAATACACCAAAAGCACCACTTGCGTGCGCCCACCAAAAACCAAGGGGGTACGAGAATGGGGAGGTCAGAGCTGAACCAGGGGAGGGGTCAGAGCCCGGAGCTCGCCCCTCCTCTCGGGAGGAAGCGGGCGGGCGGAGGGTTAACCCTTTTGTTCCAGGTGGGCCAGGCGACCGACGAAGCCTCTCCATGCTCTCCCCCCCACCCCCCCAACCCGAGGCACAAAGAGAGTCCATCCTCCTGGGACCTCGGGTGCCGGCAGCCCTGACCATCAGACGCCCCGAAAACGCACAGCCGCCCCTCGTCAGATCTCTTTAATTTGCCCTGGAAAAAAATTGTTATTTGCGGCGGGGGGGGGGGGGGGGGCGGGGATTCGCAGGGATTTACATTAACCTATTATAAATTTGGGAAACATACTGCATTCCCTACCCCCAAAAAGGGGGAGGTAGCAAAAAAGGAGCGCAGCCTTCCTACCAGAGTTACGGCTTGGGAGTGTCTGGGACAGCAGTGCACACCCCCATCAGCGGCTGAGAAATTAGAAAGCAGGCGGGGAGAAGAGGGGAAACGATCCACAAGGCCCAAGACGAGGTTAACAACGCCCCCTCCCCCCACGCGTAGCTAAAAACTTATCAGGCGACAATTTGGCGGGCCAGGACGGAGGGGAGATAGGGGGGAAATCGACTCGCTCCCTCAACCTCCTCGGTTAAGTGACCCGGAGGAGGGGAGTTTGCCCGGCCGCTCCCGGCGGGGTTGGGGTCCCGAACGCCTCCCGACCCCGGAGACGCTCGCCGCGGAAGCGTGGGGCGGGTCAGCCCCGTGAGCTCGCCCTGGCCGCGACCGCCCAGCCCTGGCCCGACCTCTCCCCCCTAGCCCCCGGGGCGCGCTTCTGGAACGCCGGGCGCCGCAGGAAAGCCCCGCAAAATTCCAGGCTGGTGCACCCCATTGGAGCTGCCGCGCGCCCGCGACCCCGGCCGCTGGGGGCCTGCACCCCTCCGGCTGGCCGCGGTTATTTTTAGGAAGTCGGAAATCAAAGATGGCTGGAGGTCAGGCCCCGAAAGGTTAGAGCGAAGATCGGCAGGCGGCAAAGACCGGGGAGAAAAAGCCAAAGCCCTAAGGAAATTTTTTAAAAAGGGAAATACTGTGCCCTTCTCCCGCACCTCTTCGGGCCCTCCAATCCCCTCAGCGGGTGGCCCGCACCCCAGCTCCCGGAGATGGGGAGAGGTCGCGCCCCCTCCCCCCCGCTTGGCCCGGGAGCGGCGCGTGCAACAGATCGCCCTTCCCCCGGGGGGTCTTCCAGGGGTGCGCCCCTTCTCCAGCCTCCTAGAAGAGCTCCCAAGGGGTGAAGGAAAAGGTGGGGACCCCCGGGGTCTTTCTTTTAAAAGCGGCGCCAGGGAGGGAGGAGGAAAACCTAAGTTACAAGTGGGGGGGAGGTAACTAGCGAGGAGAGTGGAACCAATTAAGAGAGGGAGCAAGGGACGAGTAGGTAACCTTTCAGGAACGAGGGACACGGCGGGGGGGGGGGGGGGAATTTTAAAAAAAAAGAGGGGGGCCCGGGGGGGGAAATTTACCCAAGGGGGGGAGCGGGAAAAGGGTAAAATAAACAAGGGCGGGGGGGGGGGAGGACGAGCGTGCCTTCCCTAGAACTGAGACCCCAAATTTTGGTTCCAGAATCTGCGCTGGGAGCCGCTAGCTCCCCGAAGCTCGCGCCTTCGAGGGTCCAGCGAACGTCCGGAAAACTGCCCGCCCCCAGCCCCACTCACCCGGCTCCCCCGCCGCCGGCGCCGCTGGGGCCGCATCTGCAAACTCCGGGGCCGGCTGCTGCGGCTGCTGCTCGCCCTGGTCCTCCTCGGAGTTGATGTGCTGGGGTTTCGCCTGCTTGCGCCTCGACATGGTGCGAGCATCGGGCCGCCTGGAGAGCCGCGGTTATGTGCCCACTCCGCCACAAATTCCTGGAGTTGGGAAATTTACCCCCCTTCGGCCGGAACGCGCATGTCCCAGTAATTATTATTATCAATAATGCATTGCGATTTATCATGAGCCCTGACAGCTGATTGGCCTGGGTCCAAGACCTCAGAGATCATTTAAATAAGCCCTCATTGATCAGGGAGGGGCGAGGCATTCTGGGCTTTGTAGTCCGGCCCTACATGCGACAAAGGCGTGTTCCTCGGGGGAGCGCAACTAATTAGCATCCGGGCTCAGATTGGCTGGATCCTGCACGAAATCGGAGGGGGACCCATCCTCGCTCCAGCTATCTGAGTCCTTGGAGAGAAGAATAAAAATAATTGTGGGCTTATTAAAAACTAGGAGCATCCGTCAGAGTTTTGGGACGAGCGCATTTGGTCGTGTGCTCCAAAAATTACTTTTGTAAGATTGATATCTACGCAAGCCGGGGTGGGAAGGTCTTTTCTGTGGAGTAGTTTGGTTCCGAATTTTTACATCTCCCCAAAAACCTACAAACAAAAAACCGAGATGGGATACATGTCTCCTTCCATCTTATTTTTGACTGAAATGTTTAAACGGAATTTCGAGGTGCCCGAAGAAGAGTGAAAATGGTGGTTTATTCAACCTTCCCAATGCATTTCACCTCTTAAAGTGGCCTTGGAATTTCCAAAATTTCAGATTATCCTCTCACCATGGTTTTTTTCCTTTAAATGCTAAATAATAGCCCCAGGGTTCATATTCACAAGGATTGGTTTGTTGTTACCATGCGACCTTGGTTTTTGGTTTGGGGGCTTATTTTTACTCTAAAATGACTGAATACTAAATACAGAAAAAGCAGATTAAAGGCCAGTATAGCCAGAGATAATATCAAAACAGCAAGCAATTGCATTTTTTCCCCCACAAGCCATAAATGTCTGATAACATCATATTTTATTGCTGAGACAATGCTTTTGTATCTCCCATGAAATAGCAATGAGTAGTGTCAGGGTGACTGGGTGTCACTAAACTAATCATTATTGGAATTTTGTGCAATACGGACTTCATTATGGAAAAGGGAGAGTTCAAAGTGATTGCATCACCCTGACATGGGGATACCTGGCATTTTCTAAAATTGTGTGTGTGTAATATTACATGCATATATATATATCGATACAGTAAATCTCTATATTTAAGTCCACTAACTGCCTTGCAAATGTAAAAGCTCAATAAGTGTTGAATAAATGATGAAATTTTCAGGCTTCTAAGTCTCTGATTGGTGTTTCCGTGACGCCTCTGGGCCTGCCTCTTTATTTGGCATTTACTTCATCGTAAGAGAACTGTAAACCATCCACATTTGTGCCTTGCATTTTCTCGATTAGTTATACATCAAGTTCCCAGCTTGTAAGAGTTTCTTGTAGGCTCATCAGAAATGCAAGCAAAATAGAATGCTGGGCTCATAAATACATTCACCTGGGTGTTTGGACATCCCAAGGCAGAAAATAAATCAGCTTGATAATCTTCTTGATATTCATGGCCATCAATAAAAGCTTACTGAAAGAAGGCTAACCTCCAGTTTTGAGTCTCTGTTTGAAAATGTTTTGCATTGTTTTATGTAAGTCCCCTAAAGCAAAAAAGATTTGCGGTCAATGGCCAAATTTGGGAAGGTTAAGGATTGGGTTTAATAATATATGGAAGCTGTTTAGAATTCTCATACTGAGTAAAAAAACCAATTAACACCTGCCTTGCTGACTAATTTACTTATATTCCCAACACCTTTTCTGGTTACCATGGCGTGGCAGGAGATGTAATTGACAGATCTAAATGAATGTACAGCTCAAGGCATCTTAGTGGATTAAGGAGAACCTCATCAAAGATATCGTTTCTTACATTTATTTATTTTAGTTGATAGTTTCATTTCTACTTAGGACAAGGTCAGAAAACTGCCACTTGTCTCCAAGTGATGATGATGATAATTATTGTTTGAGCCCTTCTTAGGTGCGGCAGACTTGCTAAATGCACACTCTCTTGTTTTCTCTTCCCAGGGAAACTGAGGCTCAGAGAGGTCAAGTGACTTAATTAGGAAGTGGCTGAGCTGGTGGTGGATCCCTAAACCTGGCTCCAAAATTTTTATCGTATCCCCACACCTGTCATGCCGCTGAAGCTGAATATAGACAAGAAAACAAGAAAAAGAAAAAATGCGGGTAAAAGAAAACATAGGCTAAATTAAGCCTGTCCTGGAAAATCGAGGCTCTATAGAAGTAAATTCTACAGGTAAAATCAAGGAGAAGTTCTCCGACGGAAACCTTCCATGAACATCATATCAAGAAAAGAAGGCTGTCGTACACGTTTGGAACCTACCTCCAAGCCAGCAGCCAGGAGCAAATACCGTAGAGCAGAGCCGGTGAATGGAGAAGAGAGAGGTACCTGCAAGTCTCTAAATCAAAGGCATTTAAAAAAAAAAAAGATTTTATTTATTTATTTGACACAGCGAGAGAGATCACAAGTAGGCAGAGGGGCAGGCAGAGGGAGAGAGGGGGAAGCAGGCTCCCCTCGGAGCAAAAACCCGGACGATGCGGGGCTTGATTCCAGGACCCTGAGATCATGACCTGAGCCAAAGGCAGAAGCTGAACCCACTGAGCCACCCAGGCGTCCCTAAATCAAAGGCATTTTTAAAAAGTATTTAATATACTTTGAACAATCAAACGACCCAAGTGGGATCAGAAAGAAAAGAAAAAAAAGATCAAAGTAAAAGATAATATTTAGCTTTTTAATACCTTCTGTTAGGTGGCTGGGTTTAATTGTTGGGAAATTCATGTCTTGTTCTATCTTTCAGGCCAGCGGTCTATGAAAACTGAGGCTTTACTGTCAATAAAGATATCTGAGATACATAATCCTACTTCATCCTCATTAAAATCCTTTTTTTATTCCTGTTTCATGATGGAAAAACAAGGTCGGAGCTCCTGTTGGCGCCTTGTAGGTACTTCAAATTCACGCTCAACGTATGAACTCCATAACTTTGCAGTTAAAGGGCTTAGGTCCCTCTGGTTCTCAGAGATTCTACCCATTTCTGCAAAAACCCCACCTCAGCGTCCCCTGGCTCTTCCCTACTAAATTTCCAGTCTCTGGTTCCGATTTCCCTGCCTGACACCCACCTTTCCTGATCCAAACCAGGTCTCACCTCTTAGTCTGCTAGAAGCCAATTCTTTCCTTTGATAGCACGGTTCAAAATTTATGATGAAAGATTTTATTGTATGTCTGTTTATTGCTTGTTTCCACCGTGCAGGCTACGCGAAGGCAGACACCTTCACCACTGAGTCCCTAGCCCTCCAGCACTGCAATGGAACACAGAAGTGGCAATAAATAATAATTGAATGAATCCATCAATGGGAAATGATTTTGCAGGCCTGAATATAAAATTAAGTATTAAAAGGCAATTACCGTTGGTGGGAATGTAAATTGGTACAGCTGCCATGGAAAACAGTGTGGTAGTTCTCAAAAAAAAAAAAAAAAAATCAAGCATTGTGTTACGATAAGATAAAGCATTTTCACTTCTGGGTTTCTGCCCCAAAGAACCAAAAACAGGGACACAAAGAGATATTTGTAGACCCATGTTTGTAGCCGCATTATTCCTAAGAGCTAAAACGTGGTGGCAAGCCAAGAGTTCATCCACAGATGAAGGGATACACAAAATGTGTGTACACACAAAGAAATATTATTCAGCCTTAAACATGGAAGAAATTCGGGCATGTGCTACAACATGGATGAAGCTTGGGGACATGATGCTAAAGGAAATAAGCTAGTCACGAAAAGACAACGACCAATTGATTCCACTTACATGAGGTACTTGGAAGAAGAGGGAAGGAAAGGGGGAGTTGTTGTTTAACTGGTATGGAATTTCAGTTTTGTAAGATGGAAAGAGATCTGGAGAGTGCATGGCAATGTGAATGTTGGTTTTTTTTTTAAGATTTTATTGATTTATTTGACAGAGCTCACAAGTAGACAGAGAAGCAGGCGGTGGGGGGAGGGGGAAGCAGGCTCCCCACGGAGCAGAGATCCTGATGTGGGGTTCCATCTCAGGACCCCGGAATTATGACCTGAGCCAAAGGCAGAGGCTTTAACCCACTGAGCCACCCAGGCACCCCCCACCCCCTTTTTTTAATTGTGAATGTCCTTAATACCACTGAATAATACAACTAAGATGGTTAAGATGGTTAAGATGGTAAAATTCTATTTCACCACAATTGGGGAAACAAAGCAATTACAAACTGATGGCTGCCCTAATTGTATCAATTTATTAAAAACTATCACACTGTACACTTACATGGGTGCATTTTGTGATATGTAAAGCATCCCTAAATGAAGTTGTTTTTAGGAAGGCAGTTAGATATTTGGTTATCCCTATTAATTGAAAGGGCCATTAATATGGGGGTGGGTTGTTTTTTTTTTTTTCTTATGTGAGATTCCCGGCATCGCAAGCTTGATAAGACTAAAGTGACATGGCTGGGGGGGTCCATAAATCATGATCTGCCCCTGCGAAACTGTGCCTTTTTGGGTCTCTAACTATTCATGCCAGGAAACGGCCACGTGGACCGACGTGGTAACCATCACCACTCTAATTTGGGAAATGCGAGTTTGGATTCGGGAAGTAGGAAGAGTGGCCTTTTCCTCCGCATGGACCAACCTCTTGGAGGCTATGGACTTGCATCAATCTGCTCTCCGCCTGCCCCATGGAAGGCTTTATTTCTGGAAGGAAGTCTTCACATTCTAGAGATTTAGAAGTCGAGCTGAAATTGCTTAAGAAATCATGCTTGTAATTCACCAGGAGTGCTTTATTATGGGGCCAAGCGTCCACTTTTCTGAGTGTCCTGGCCCGGAGCTCCTCTGTTAGGATGATTTATGGTTGCAAATCCTGGCTAATTGCAATAATCGCCACTTAACTGATGATTCTCCCTGTCCCTCATTTTGATATCTCAACAAGTTGCCATTTTATCAATCCCAA